CTCGGAAACCGAAGGAGGGGTCGCTATGAGTCGGGTTCGACTCGACGGCATATAACAACAACAACAACAACAAGGAGTTCTGGTGGTGTAGTGCCTAAGGCATTTGACTGCTAACCAGAAGGCTGGCAGTTCAAACCCCCCAGCCACTACTTGGAAGGAAGACTGGGCAATCTACTTCCATAGTGATACTGCCTCGGAAACCCAATGAAGGGTCATTATGAGTCAGATGATAAAACATGTATATTGTGGAACATAATTTTGGAAACAATCTTAGGAGGTTTAATGACAAAAAGCTATATTCAAAAGCTTCTCTGTGGACAATTGTAATTTGACCCTTGCCCTCAAGCCATAAGAGCTCTCAGTTTAGGCTTGGAGCTTCATGGCTGATGAGGAAGAAAAGATCCCCTATTCCACTTTGCAAGGGGAATGTGTTCTTTGCATTCCAAATTGGAACTCTCAAGTATGTCTCCATTATATCATTATAATGCATGGACTAGGTTAGTAAATTTTGGGCTTCAAATATTATTGTTGATTAAGTGAGCAACTATAAGTTAGCTTAGAATCCTATCATTAAAATATTTTTTGGAAGAAAAATGTATTTCAGATTTTAACAAACATACAAAGTAACTTTTAGAGTAAAGAGCAATCGCACTCTTGGTACCAAATGACTTTTCCCGACCCAAAACACATTATGTGAATTAAAACTTAAGCACAGAGAAAATTGGAAGAACTAAAACCTTTTGTAAGAAGTCAGTTAATTAGAAAAATAGATATTGAATTAGGTCTAGAATTCTAGACAATTTTTGTTATAATGGAATAGCTCCAATATGTTAGTTGCCAAGAGTTTTCAAGGAAATGAAAAAAGTAGAAAATAAAAATTCGTATCATTTAAAAATTTATGAAATGCTTACTTAAGTTAAAAAAAAATCTAAAGTAATTTCCATTAAGAAATAGCTTTAATTAATTAAAGAAGAAATTGCTAAAAAGTTATTCTGAAATAAAAAAAGTAATGAAATCTAAATCGTTTAGTACCTTTGGAGAGTTTACCTGAGAGCTACTGAATACAGGCTTTTTGCCCAGTCTTCGATCATCACCTTTGTCAAATGCAGCTGTAGAAAGAAACAGTAATTTACTTTTATAGGAAGCATCATTATTATTATCATAGAAGTAGAGGAAAGGTAGTATGCTAGCAAAAAAAGGTTATGTTTGTATAAAAAAAAAACTTCAAAAAACTGAAACCAGTCTACTACACATAAATCATTCTATATTTTAGAATTTTTTTTTTAAAAAAGAGCCTTTTCAATTTTATGCTCTAGTCTCTATAGATTTTTGTGTTATTAAAATGAACAAATAAGAAATGTGCTATCTCACAGAAAAGAGTCTCACATTTACACAAAACTAGAATTTTCTCAACCTGTGAAATTTTAGGGATAACTGGTTTCATTTAGTTAGTTTTCCAAATTTCAAAACTTTACAGATTGTGGCAAATATAATATTTTATAAACTATGAAATGTAAGAACATATTTATCTTAAAAACTGTGAAAATACTCTTTTGAAATTAGCTACAAATATGTTCTGGTTTTGGACATCTGAGGAAGGAAAAAGAAAAGAATGTTTTATTGAAAATACAACAAAAAGCAATCCCTAGATCCATATTATTTTCTTAGAATTATATAAAAATTAATTTTATAGGTTAGGTTTTTATGGGAATTATTTGGGAATTCATGATTATGTTCTTCAAACAAGAGTTTGAATGACGTCAGAAAAATATATAGGAAAATGGTAAGAGAGCTATAAATACAGTTTAGGTCATATATTTTTTCCATTTGAAGGTTATGGTGATTTAAAATATATTTTGAAGAAATATATATAATTTCCAAAAGTTATTTGACTTTTATTAAAAGAGCTGATGAAAAATAAAGTCTCTGTAATTCTACCACACACATTTCAGCATCGCTATTCTATAGAATCTGTGCTGACAGATAAAGCAGGATCCTGGATGTGGTTACTGTAAGAACTAATTCGTAAAAAACAAATGATTTTTCACAATTATATACAAGAAGAAATTAATACAAAATTTCTACCAAAGGTCAGTAACTCAACAAGAACATCAGAAACATTATAACAAAGACAACCCAGAACAATTTCTTTATCTGTGTTTTCCCAATGCAGTAATTACATACATGTCAGGACTCATTATCATTTAACCCATTTAAAAAAATTTATTATGCTGATATAATGCAACAAGATGCAAAGTTCTTTTTGATAATTAATTGGACTACCAATAACCTTTTGTTTTAGCTATGTGTGTGTATTTACATATATTTTTAAATTAGGACTTTGAAGAATTAAAATAAGAGAACTAAAGAAAATTGTTTGAAGCCCAACTTAACTATGAGATCCTTGAAAACAGAGAAAAGCAAAGTTTGCTACCAGTCAGAAGAGTGTTGAATGACACCTACTCTGGAATTCCGATCTATCTTGTACCTTTACATTGCATAGATTTTGTAATAAAGATAAACCATAATATAAAAATCAGCACAAAGATAGTTACAAGGACAAAATTTCCAATTTCTAAAGACACCTTCTCATGATATCTGTCGTTTAAAAAAAAATGGAATTTCTGTGAAAAGTCCTCCTCAGGTCACATCTAGCTACACTATCATGCTATGCTTATAATACAAGACAGAGCAGATGCTAGTCTGACTATACCACAAAGAATTTAATGTATCTGTGTACTATCAGTAATATGTTACATATAGCTTTCATGTTTCATAGTCCAAAAATTTTGACTTTATAAAATAAGTCCCTTAACTTAAAATGTTTTTAAAAGCATACTTGCTGAATCTGCCAATATTTTTCCTAAGGCACCTGCTTTAACATAAAAATACTCATGAAGCCATTTTTAGTTCCCCATCCTCAAAACAGTATTTTAATATTTCTGAAACAAAGATGCTGCTGAGCAATGCACATCTTTTATTTATTTGTTAATGCTAATGTTTCAAACAGTACCTATGAAATATCAGAGACTACTGTGCGGCTCCTGAGGGACACTGCAATAGCACACCCCGTATCACTGAACCAATCAACTGTGAAATAAAGCAATGTAATCTAGGCAAAAATCACAAGAAATAAAATCTCACGCAAAAGATGGAAAAGCTTTATGGCAACATTCATCTTAAAAAGGGCAGAAAGTACATTTCGTAACCTGTTCTATGTAGATTACATTTTCCTATACTTTTAAATCTCTTCACAATAATACTTTTAAGAAAATAAGGCTGGAACATTTTTGCTAATATCGAGTAGGACTGAAAACTGATACATATATAAAAACGAAATGAGTTTCCTTTCTTAGGAACAGCAAGAAAAATCATGATTTATTCAAACTGCCTAAATATTCTACCACTACATTCAATTAACAAGCTATTATTGAACAGAAGCACACAAACATTAATCCTACCACTTATTATAATGCCCTTAAAATATGTGCTGTCACAAGATCATAATAAAAGAATAAGAGAATCTTAAAGCTAACATACCTGCTTGGATTCTCTGTTGATCATCAGTGCTCATCAGCTTCCAGCTCTCTGTGTGACGAACAGCATAGAAAGACTGTACCAGGAAGATCCACAGCTTATCACGCAGAGCCTGGATCTTGCACGTAAAACCCTGTGTTCAGGCAACAAATCAGCAGCTGGTGAGAGCCACATTGTCATAGCAACCAGTCATTATTCCTTTCTGAAATCTACTTACTCCTAAGCTAGATCAATGATGTCATCACTTAGATTTTCAGATCATTGGGTACATGTTATTTATGAATGCATATGCTTCAACAACAGAATTTTACAGTGAAACATAAAGCTAAATCTTATCTTTTCAACCAAATGTTAGTTTAAGTGACCTGTATATAAATACCTTCCACAGCCTTTTTTTTCAAATCATCTATGACACTACAAGGTCAAATACTCTATGGAATAGTAATAAATTTGATGAAATATTTTAATCATTCTTGTTGAACAAGTGCAAGATGCCAATAATTTGCAATCAACTTATTAATTGCCTTTGAATAACTGCACATAAAAATAAGTAATATTTTCATTTTACTTTTTCCCAGTCAATCCAGTTTTAAAATGTGATTTTTTTTTCAGAAGATAGAAAGGAATTAAGAATATATATAAAATAAAAATTACTAAGATTCGCGTTTTAAAATATAAATTTTATATTCAGAAAGTTTAATACAGTGACAGGGTAGAAATGCTAGAGTTATGCTGTGCCCATTACTGTTGCTAAGTAGCAATAGATGTTTAGAATGAACCAGCCAAACTATCAAATTCTAAACTTTTACTGTAAGTTCATTTGGAAGCAAACAAAAGTTAAAAAATTTTTTACTGTAAAAAATTTCACACATACATGACAGAGTATAACAAATCCCATGTGTCCATCACCTAGCTTCAATGATCCTAAGCATTTTTGTGCATAAATTTAAAAATCTTAAAACAGTTCAAATATTACATGATTTTTGTGAATTTTATAATGATCAGTACCATTTCCCTTGTACTTTCAGAGTTCAGTAATGTGTCCAGAGCCATAAGAAGAGAGCAACTGTTCTCAGTGGTAATATTTTCTTCAATTGCTTTTAATACTTTGTCCAATAGATCAGCTGTGCTGCTCATTGCTTGTGACTGTAAAACACAGAAAATTGATATTTAATAATATATATTATATATACATATTATATA